TATTTTCTTACAGGAAAACTGTAAATAATCATAATTTGTTTTTAGCATCTTCAGTTTCCCTTTGTGTCTGGTCTTTGGTGATTTCAGCATCCCTACCAATAGTAAATCCAATATTTACCAGTGCCCACTTTGCTCATGATATCATTGTAGTTGCCATACACAGAGGAGGTAAAAAAATCAAGCAGCATTTCTGTGTACATCACTGGTGTGCAGACATGCTGTTGGCTGCGGATCTGTGCAGTGTCTTGGTCCATGCAGTGCTCCTATAACCAAACACCTGGCACTGGTTAATGTATAAGAAACATAAATTTGGTTGGATGAGAAAGGTGTTGGGTGCCAACCCTGAAGACCTGAGTTCAGTCCCCAGAACCCATGTAGTGGAAGGAGAGAACCAAGTCCTGACAGCTGTTTTTGTCTCATGGTTCTAGAGGGCAAAAAGTCTGGGACCAAGGGGTTGAGTCTGATGAGGGCCCATGACAAAGGGCCGGAAGATTCTGATTGCCAGAGGGAAGGGGGTATTCCCTAGTAACTAACTCACTCCCAAAATGGCATCATTAATCCATCTACAGGGGTTCCCATTCACCTCCTAAAGGGTCAGTTCTCCACATTTGTGTGCCAGGCAGACAGCCTGTGGTTTGATGCGGATGGACAGACCATGGAAGCCCTTTCTTCTGATTTTGCTTCTTTTCTTAATCCACGGAGTGAAGTAGGATCCTAAATTGAGAGGGGAGGGAAAAGCAGATGTTGGGTACTTGGAGACAGGCAGCAGTGTGAAATAAGGACATGGAGAGGATTTAGAACATGGGCATCTTGTGATTATGTAGTCTCAGTGAGGGTCACTGGAGAGTCGGGGTTTGAAGTCACCACTTTTTATTATAACTGAGAGGCCTGTGTGCTTTTCTCCATCTCTGTACATCTGTGCTGACATGGGCCTGTAGCAACCAAGGTTGCACTTAGCCCAGCATGAGGTCTTAACAAAACAGCAACTCGTATCAAGTTGGGGAGAAGGCCTGAGAATGTAGCTCAACGGCAGAGCACTTGCCTAATGCTCAGACCCTGGCTCCAATATGCACTGCCCAAAGAGAAGGGGGCTGGGGAGAGAGAAGGTCACATGCATGTACGAGGCAATGTAGTTCAGTGAATGCTGCAGATCCCCGCTGACAGGCCAGCACTCTGTGGAAGCCAGCTGGGGACAGCTCCACTGTTTTGGATGTCAGAGTCTGAGACCGAGGAGCCTGGAGCAGGCAGTCCTGGCTTGCTGTTTCCCTCACAGGCTTCCAAAGAGCCGCCTCACTGTGTCCTCACAGGGCCGTTTCTCAGCATCTCACATTCTCCTAAGAGTACTTCAGATGAACAGGGCCCCACCGTAGTAACCCTCATTTAACTTTAAACATCTGTCTTCAAACTTTTCACACTTCTTGCCCAGAGTAAGACATTCATAACAGAGCATGGTAGGACTCGCTCTTAATGCCAGCACTTTGGAGGCAAAGGCAGAGGGATAGGTCAGCATGGTCTACACAGAGAATTCCACAGCAGCCAGAGCTACATAGTATTAAGATTCTGTCTCAAAAAGAATCATAAATGTATAATTGAGAAGAACTTTCATAGAGCAAAACTGTGTGTCTGGTCTTCTGACACTTTTTCTCTTTTAAAAAAAAATCCCCGCAGAGCTTTTCTATGAGACACCTGGTATAATAATAACCAATAAAAGTGTACACACAGCAGTGAAGTGTGTGACAGCATGGATCTCCCAGGACCCTGGATCCTAAACCAGGACAGAGGAAGAGGAATGGGACATTGACGAGTCTCAGAGTCCTGATTCATCATCGTAGGAAAGAAATACAGAATTCAGCCGGGCAGTGGTGGCGCACACCTTTAATCCCAGCACTCAGGAGGCAGAGGCAGGCAGATCTCTGTGAGTTCCGAGGCCAGCCTGGTCTACAAAGCTACACAGAAACCCTGTCTCGAAAAACCAAAAAAGAAAAAAGAAAAGAAAAGAAAATACCGAGTTCAATGAAGATATAGACTATATGCATATTCTCTTAAAAATCTGGGAGAAAATGGTGAAAGTGAAAACTGCTGACAGTAATTGCCTCCGAGCAGTGGCGTGTGGTAGAAATCGAGGCTCTGGAGGTGATGGTGTTTTCTTTGTTTTTGTTAGATGCCTCTTTTCGTGTTTATAAATGTAATGTAATTTATTATGATGCCCGATGACTGACGTGTTCACAGAGAGGGATCATAGAGATAGGGTGGGCAGAAAAATCAAGGGAGTCCATGAGTGTGTTGCCCCGATTAAGGAAGAAGGCGCCCTGCCTGGTGAGCACAGACATTCTGGTCTCTAACACAAATATCCCCACACTGTGGATGCTTAAGGTCTCACGGCTGCATCCTTACGTCTGTAGCCTATCCTCATTTGTTCTAATTCAAGCTCACCGAACACCTATCTCGGCAATGGACTGCTCTGGAGTTCTGTTTTGGGGAAACGTGCTTAGCACCATTATTTTCCATTATACATGAATAAATTGACACCCTGGACTACACAGCTATGGCTGTGAATGCATTTATAAACACGAGTCTCTCAGTTCTGGTTGCCCAGGTGGAGTCAGTCTCCACAGGACAGCGGACAGGACTGGATCTGAGATGAGAGAGCACAGTCACCACCACTGTCCCATTCTGGTGGCTTGCTGTGAGTAGCATCTTTACCTCATTTTTGATAACAGCAACATGACTCACTCACAGTAGCTGCAATTCTGGGTTTCCTCATAGGGAAAGTTCCCTACTGTGTTGATTTCTCCAGAAAAAGTGTGTGTGTGTGTGGGGGGAGTATTTTCAATGTAACACCCGCTCCTGCTTTGGAATATGTACTTCGTCGATTATTTACACAATGTTTTTAAACTTCTGTTCACACACTCTATTGATTCATCCAGTTTGCCAGTCATTTTGTTGAAAGACACATGAGCCTAAAGATGAGTTCTAAAAACCAAGAAACAAAGCCAACCAAATGCCTATCAGACAGTGGGTATGGTGTGCACACCAGTGGAGTGTGTTGTTCAGACTTCAAGGGAGGGTATCCTGGGACCTGCTTCAATGTAGCTGAAACTTGAGGGCATCTATGCTAAATGGATTCAGCCTGGTGGAATGGTTCAGCATTCAGTAGGCTGAGATGAGAAGATGAGGTGCCTCCTAGGTTAGGACTAGCTCACACAGCAAGACGCTGTCTCAAAAGAAAAGGAAAACAAACAGAAAACAAAAACCAAACCAGAATGGGCTATGTGACTCCTCTCATACAAAATACCTAGAATAGTACAATTAGAAATAAAGTACAACGATGGGTTTGGTGGTGCCCACCTTTTTTTTATTTTATTATTTTTTTTTCTGGTTTTTTGAGACAGGGTTTCTCTGTATTGTTTTGGAAGCTGTCTTGGAACTCTCTCTGTAGTCCAGGCTGGCCTCGAACTCACAGAGATCCTCCTGTCTCTGCTTCCTGAGTGCTGGTATGAAAGGTGTGCGCCACCAACCTTTAATCCTAGCACTTGGAGAGGCAGAGGCAGGTGGATCTGTATGAGTTTGAGACCAGACTGGTCCACAAAGCAAGTTCTAGGACAGTCAGAGCTACACAGAGAAACTCTTTAAAAAACAAAAACAAAAGAAGGAAGGAAGATTTTCAGGAATGGGGAGTTGGTCTTTAGTGAATATAAAATTTACATTTTACAAGATGAAAAGAGTTGGTGATGGAAGCCAGGCATTGGGGGCACACGCCTTTAATCTCAGCACTCAGGAAGCAGAGGCAGGAGGATCTCTGTGAGTTTGAGGCCAGTCTGGTCTACAGAGAGAGTTCCAGGATAGCCTCCAAAGAAATAGAGAAACTCTGTCTCATAAAACCAGGAAAAAAAAGAGTTGGAGATGGGTGCCATTTAACAGCAAGTTTGTTTTGTTTTGTTTTGACACAGGGTTTCTCTGTGTAGCCCTGGCTGTTCTGAAACTCTCTCTGTACACCAGGCAGGCCTAGAACTCAGAAATCTGCCGGCTTCTTAAGGTGTGGACCACCACTAGCCCTCTTATTTAACAGCAATTTAAGGCCAGTGAATGCTATACATACAATGGCTACGATACTTCATTTTAATAGCCCTGTGGTGGTGGCAAATGCCTTTAATCCCAGCACTCCAGGGCTTGGGTATGGATCCGTAGATAGAGTGCTTGCCTAGCAAACATAGAGCTCTAGGTTTGAGTCACAGGTGTGGAAGCACATGCCTAGACTACATGAGACACTATTAAAAAACTTTAAAAAATTAAACACTTGAGCCAGGCGGTGGTGGCGCACGCCTTTAATCTCAGCACTCGGGAGGCAGAGGCAGGTGGATCTCTGTGAGTTTGAGGCCAGCCTGGTCTTCAGAGTGAGTTCCAGGCCAGCCTCCAAAACAATACAGAGAAACCCTGCCTCAAAAAAACCCAAAAAACAAACAAACAAAAAAACAAATTAAACACTTGAAAATCCCAGCACTCCAGAGGCAGAGAGAGACAGAGCTCTGAATTTGAGGCCAGCCTGATCTACAGAGTAAGTTCCTGGATTAAAAAAAAAGATAGTGAATTTCATATATCTATGTATTTTGCTACCATACAAAAGAGTGGGGTAGGGAGAAAAAAATTTTAGTTCCTGACCTAAGATGTTTACTTACAACCTCATGAGAGAACAAACTATATGGGCCAGATAATATTATGAGAATGCAGACAAAATAAAAGTTAATAATTATGCAATTCCCTCAGTTTCCTAAAATTCGTTTATTAGAAACTTCCCATTGCAGCTAAGTCAACATGAGACTGGGTACTGACTGCAGTTCTCTCATCCTGTGCCCAGCTGGAGCAATCCCCCCTCTGCGCAGCAGATGGCGCCAGATATGCAGTGCACCTTCAAGACCGTAGGCGGCGCTCTAGCGGGGCCTCTCTCTCTCTCACCATCTCTATGACTATTCCTTCCGTTTTCCAGCTCCGCCCCTCTAGCCGCTAGCTCACACTGCGCATGCGGTTGTTGGCGATCGCCTGGGCGATGGCGGCTTCTTCGAGTGGGGAAAAGGAGAAGGAGCGTCTGGGAGGCGTCTCAGTCATGGCCGGCGTTGGCAGCACGCGGGAGCGGTTGCTGTCTGCGCTGGAAGATCTGGAGGTCTTGTCGAGGTAACGCGGCCTGGGAACCTGCTCGGGCCGGGTCGGCTGTGGGCGCCGACGGCTGGGGAGTCTCCGGAGTGGGCGTGGGGTGCACCTGGGGTCGGCTGCCTTCCGGGGCTTTGGGCGGCATGTCCCCGCTAAGGGGACATCTCTGTGGCCTGGAACCCCAAGACAGTCACAGCTGTAGTAGTCAGTGAGAAAGGGCTCTGTCCACGGAACGTTCCCGGGTGCAAGTTCAGGGATGCCGGGGTCAAGGGGAGGCTAGAGGCCAACACGAAGGAGCCCAGGGTCAACAAGTTTTACCAGGGTTGAGCTGCAGCCTGAAGCCCACGGGTGGGACTCCTCGTCCGGTGTCAGCCAGGCAAGCTTCCCAAAGCAATAGGCTGTTTGGGAAGGCAGCGGACTCGTTAGGCGGCTGGCAGATGATCCCATCATCTGAAAAAGCCCGGAAACGTGCAGGACGTGGTGGGATGGCTCCTGCGTGGCAGCGATAGATTAAATTGGGTGTCACTCACCATATTGTCATTATGAAATCGATCAGTTGGAGCCTTGTGAGGGGAGAGCCCCCAGCGTCATGGAAGTCAGTGTTATCTTACAAGAAAGTAACGTACACAAGCTGTAGCTCTTCTGGATTTGGCCTGCAGATCCACAGTCCAGGTCAGATAGCTTTCTTGTAAATCACAACCACGAACCCAGTAATCACTTGAGAGCAGTTAAAAGAGTTTTTCTATTTACCTTCACAGACTCTTACTGTGTTCTTAAAAGGTTTCACTAGGTAGCCCCGGACGGCCTGAATCCCCCCACCCCACCCCACCACTGAGTTTAAGGCTAGTACCACCATCCCCTGATGGTTGTTTTTCTTTTAGGGAACTTATAGAGATGCTGGCAATTTCAAGAAATCAGAAGCTGTTACAGCTGGATGAGGAAAACCAGGTAAATGGTTTCTTTTTGAATCTGAAAAGCAGTGGTGGCTCACGCCTTCAGAGGCATGGGATCTCTTGAGTTCAAGGCCAGGCTGGTCTACAGAGCGAGTTCCAGGACAGCCAGAGCTACACAGAGAGATCCTGTCTTGGGAAAAACAAACAAAATTAAAGCTGTGGCTTAGAGAAAAAGTATTAGTTTAAAGATTTCAAGTAACGTTCTGTTCTCACACTAGATCTAAACAAACCCTCAAACCATCTTTTTTGTTTTTGAGACAGGGTTTATCTGTGCTATTGTCCTTGAACTCTCAGAGATCTGCCTGCCAAGATGCTACCACTGCCCATCTCTGTTTTTCAAGATGGGTTTTTATGTGGCCCAGGCTTGCCTTGAACTTACTAGTTCTCCTCCTGTCTTAACCTCAGTGCTGGGATTATAAACGTGGTCAACACACCTGGCCTGTGTGTTACAACTTATGTTACATCGTGAGTGTTTACAACAGTTTGGCATAAAATAGGTGATATTCAGGAATTTTTCTTTTTAGAGGAGAAATAGGCTCATGGAGGGTGGTGTCTTTTCCTGTGCCTTACTGCTAGCAACTGAAGGGTTACAAGCTGAACAAGCTTCTATTGATACTAAACTTTGTGGCATTTTGCTATATCTGCATACCATCTCTTTATTTATTCATTCATTGTTTGTTTTTCGAGACGGGTTTCTCTGTAGCCCTGGCTATCCTAGAACACTCTATAGGTCAAGCTGGCCTTGAACACAAAATCCTCCTGAATGCTGGGATTAAAGGTGTGGGCCACCACCACCTGGCTTATTTTACTATTTTTTTAAATGGCCTCATTTGCTAGGCTATCTGTACTCTAAGCCATAGTGGGTGTGAAATTACGGTTTTAAATGTATCCCAGTTATCTTCTAATAGCTAACTTGTAATAGCTTCTAATATATTACTGTAACTTGCATCTCAAAGTTTTAAAGTGCTTGGTGCCAACTAAAGTCACCTCAAACCAATAGATTTTGGAAGAGCTTTTTATTATTCCATTGTATGTTTAATGATAATTTTTTAAAATTTTATCTTTGGAAGATAAGTAAACCTGAAATTTGGCACAGTATTACCTCTGAAAGATTTTTTTTTTCCTGCATGGAAAAGGAGCAGAATAAAAATGGAAATTCTTGATATTAAGACTGTTTCCCCAAATTACCCCAAATGGTCTATATATATTGTTAATGCTGATTAAGACTATTCCAGGGTGTTAAAATTGATAAACCTATCCAAATCAAGTGTGGATTCTTTGTCTCATTGATGATAGCCTTGATTATCCTGTTGTCTGATGGAATCAACTATTATTTGACAGGTCTTGGAGTTGCTAATTCACCGAGATGGGGACTTTCAAGAACTGATGAAATTGGCACTTAATCAGGGAAAGGTCCATCATGAAATGCAGGCTTTAGAAAAAGAAGTCGAGAAGAGAGACAGTGACATTCAGCAGCTGCAGAAACAGCTAAAGGAGGCGGAGCAGATCCTGGTGAGTTGATGGTTGGTCCTGGAGAGGCAGCTGTTACATTCTCTCCTGAAAATTCTGGTTATATTTTGAAGGGGAAAAACCCCAACAACCCCCACCTCACCCCTGCCCCCCATGAGACATTGTTTCTCTGTATAGTCCTGGCTGTCCTGGAACTCATTGTATAGATCAGGCTGGCCTTGAACTCAGAAATCCACCTACCTCTGCCTCCAAAGTGCTGGGATTAAAGGCATGTGCCACCGCCACCCAGCTTTAAGCTGTATATTCTAGTTACATATTCTAAATTATAGAAATAGGAAGCTTTACTTTTACTTTGGCCTAATTCAGGTTTGATATTAATAGTCAAAAATCTCAATGAAATATTTATGAGATAATTTGGGTCAATCTAGTTTCACAGACTTTTTAAAAATGTTATTATTTTTTTTTCCATCTTAAGGTAGGCAAGTTTCTTATCGATCAAGGCTCTACACTAGGTTTTCCTTTGTCCTCTACTATTTAAAACACAATTTTTATTTACATTTTTAAGGTAAAATGTTTTATGTGTGTGAATGTTTTGTCCTTGTAAGTGCCCCATGTGTCCAGTGCTAGCAGAGGCTAGAAGAGGGCATGAGGCCCCCTGGAACTAGACCTAGGGATTATTTTGAGCTGCAGTGTGGGCATGGTTGCCCAGAACTGAACCTGGGTGCTCTGCATTTGGTTATCTCGCTCAGCTCCTTGTCATGTTTTTTTTTTTTTTTTTCTTTGCCTTGAGACAGGGTCTCCCTACGTAGCTCTGGCTGGACTAGAACTCTCTAGGTGGACCAGGCTGACTGCTTCTGCCTCCTGGGTGCTATGACTAAAGGTGTGCACCGTCATGCCTGGCTTGGCTACTTATTTTGAAGAAGTAATTTGTTTGCTTTGATTAGTTCAGTTGTTTTGCTGACTGCTAAAATAAACTTCCCACGATTGTATTACAGAAGTGACTGAGCTTAACTTTCATATGACCCAGTGAGCTGCCATTCAAGTATGTCATAATGGGCTCCAGGAAAAGGAGCCTGCATGGTTTAGGGTACTTAGAACCCCCGAACGAAGAAAACCCCAAGAAAATTGTTTGGGGTTTTTGTTTTTAAATAAATGCTTTTTAAAATGGATTATTTTTTTCTTATGAAAGTAATATATACTTACCAGAAAAAAAAATTCAGAAAATACAGAAAAGGAAAAAAAGAAAATTTGCCTTGTTCTCATAGCAAAACAATGCCACAGTCCACATTTTGTTATATTTGTTTGTTTTTAGAGACAGGGTTAGTCAATTACTTTGGGATTCCAAGCATACTTGTATCCCCTCACTTTTTCTTCTCCCGTCCTTCTGCCTCCAGTATTTCCTCTGTCCTTCCAATGTCTTATGTTCCAAACAGCTATTTATTAGTGGACGACTGAGTCACGAGTGCAGTTCTTTCATTAAACGTAACAGTGATGTAAATGATACCAAATGGTGTTTCAGATGATCACAGATCAATTTCAGTGATTTCCAAGTCTTATTACTGTGGGTGAGTAACCTTGTGACTCAACCTGAAAACTCTGCTTGTTACAGTTAAGAATAATTTGTATTTTCAATTTTGTTTAAATTAGGCAACAGCTGTTTACCAAGCAAAGGAGAAACTCAAGTCAATAGAGAAAGCAAGAAAAGGTTGGTACTGTGTGCTGGCTGACTTTATTAAACTGCAAGGCTGTGTGTGCCTCGATAAAGGTCCAGGGAGGTGGTTCTGTGGGTAGGAGTTATTGCTCATGTGTGATCCCTAGAGCCTGTATAAAGTTGTATATGTGCCCATTCTCACATGGGCACACATAGTCTTGTAAGCTGATAAAAATACTGCCCAGTAGTTTCCATTGTGAAACATGTGTTCTACATTGTAGTCGGCATCCCAGAGAGGGTAGACATATCTTACAACCCTCCTCTGCTTGTAAGACACAATCCCAGAAGGAACCTTGTGCTTTTTACTTACATGTATAGTAAAGACAGTGGTCTATAAAATTGTTGAGAAGGGAAGACGTGGGGTTTACATATGCTCTTGAAGGCTGGGCAGAGAGAACAACCGTGACCACTGAGATTGGATCATTGCCTGCCAGCCTTTTGCTCACCTTAAAACCTTACATTCTGAGCTCACTGGATACTCAAGCACTGAGAGTGAAATTATGGTTCTTTGGTTTTAATACTTTGTGCATTTGGTTTACATTTAGCCATCTCTGATTTGTTTTCCTCTTGCTTGTTTGGAACAACCTACTTTCTCATTGTTACATGTGAGCCGCTAACATTCTTTGAGAGATGGGTGGGCTTCTATAGCAAGAAGCAATATTCTTTTAAAATATTTTATTCTTATGTACATTGGTGTTCTGCCTGTATGCATGTGTGAGGGTATCAGATCCCTTAGAACTGGAGTTACAGACAGGTGTGAACTGCCAATGGGTGCTGGTTATTGAACCTGGGTCCTGGAAGAGGAGGCAGTGCTATTAACTGCTGAGCCATCTCTCCAGCCCCAAGAAGCAAATCATTGGGAGAGGTCTGTAAGTCTTATCAGTGAGGACTGTGGCTAGAAGTCCATAGTGCCTTTTGAAACAGGTGTAAAGTTTATAGAATGAAGAGCTATTCCTGTTCCTTGGGGGTAGCTGCTGTCACTACTGTTCGGTGCACAGTCCATTTAGAACTTCCCGGGACACACAGGATATGGACTGCTGGCTTAGCAGCCTGGATGTCGCTGGAATGAAGCCCTTGCCCCTCATTTTACTGTTCCTCACTGTGGTGTTTGGAAGAGTTCTGCATTTGATGGCAGCTAGTATTGAGATTATTGAACATTATCCCGTGGGTCTCATTTTTGTTAGCTGGTTTTGCTGAATGGTGTCTTGGTTCTTTGGAAATGTTTACAACGGTTTCAGCATATATGCAGGGGTTAGGGAAGATGGACGGCTGAGATTAGCCTATTTTCTGATTGTTTGAAATTAAGTACGATGTGTGACTGTGATGTACACTCTTCTAAACTTGTATTTACTGCTCTGACTTGTTCTATTTTCTCAACTCAGGTGCTATCTCCTCGGAAGAAATCATTAAATATGCACATAGGATTAGTGCAAGCAATGCTGTATGTGCACCTCTGACTTGGGTTCCAGGTAACATTGCTTCTTTTGTCAGATTAAAACTATTTAATGTAGAATATACTTATCTAAAACAACACCTGCTGATAACGGCATTTTTCTTCAGTGTCCTAGTAATGCTGTCTGTGACCTATTAAGAGGATGTATCATTGTTGATGTTTCTCACTAGGAATAGAATTGAGTTGGAAGAATTGAGACTGCTATCATTTGCCTACCTCTGCCTCCTGAGAGCTGGGATTAATGAACTGTGCCCAGCTTGAGAATTATAAATGCAGCCAGGCAAGGCGTGGTGGTACACACTGTAAAGGCAACACTTGGAGGTTGCCAGCTTGATATAGAGAGATCCCTGTCTCACAGAGCTTGAGGCTTTCCATGTGTACCAAGGAAAGTTAGTACTTCAAAGGACTTTCTTTTTAAATTGAGCTAAAAGCTGCCTTTATTGTTTTAGGAGACCCTCGGAGGCCGTACCCAACTGATTTAGAGATGAGAAGTGGATTGCTGGGTCAGATGAACAATCCTTCCACGAGTGGTGTGAATGGTCATCTCCCAGGGGATGCCCTTGCAGCAGGTAGACTGCCAGGTAATGCTGATGGAAGGGTGTTTTCAAGTAGCTCAAGGGTTTTCAGAGGTGCCAGCGAGGTATCGTCTAATCGCGAACGCTTGAAATTCCAGGCCCAGCCTTATCCATCCACTTCTCTGTCCAGGTTCCCTGCCCGTTTGTTGCCCTGTGATTGCTTTAGCCAAAGACCCTGCAGTAGCATTTATGACATGAGCCTACACTGTCCCCATGTGCATGTCCTGCCACCATCCCCAGCACAGGACCTTTCCTTTATGACAACGAAGAACATTTCCCATTGTGAGGATGCTCCCCAGATAGACTAGGCATGTTTTATGGGTGCCATGTTGTAGTGTGAAAGATCTTTCTAAAAGAGAAAGGACTCGAGTGGGGGACTTTCTGAAGCCCATTTTTAGCGTTAGCTATCGCTTCTGTCCTAAAGTGCGGATTTGAGAACTCTGTGCTTATCAATTCCCAGACATTCCTTGTCTTTCTCATTGTGATTGTACTACACTGTTGGTTAGTTATAAACCTTTTGAGAGACAACCCACACCAGTAGTTTGAGTAGGAAATTTGAAAGAATTAACTAGTAACGGATATGGATGAGTAGCTATTATATATAGGACCATGGCACAGGACCCATGGCTAGGGTGTAGCGGATGTGGTTTGTTGTTCTGTGTTTAGCGTGTATGGACCCCTATCTGACTAGATCTTTGGACTACAGGGTAGGTGGGTAGATAGAATTAAGTTACTTGCATACAGGGAGGATGGTGACAAGGAGATGCATTATAAGTAGAACTGAGCCCACGTGCTTCTTTCCCCAGATGTCCTTGCTCCACAGTACCCGTGGCAGTCAAATGACATGTCCGTGAACATGCTACCACCAAATCACAGCAGTGACTTCCTGCTGGAGCCGCCTGGGCACAACAAGGAAAACGAAGATGATGTGGAGGTTATGTCCACAGACTCTTCAAGCAGCAGCAGTGACTCCGACTGAAGAAGGCGTGGCCGCACTGCCCAGACTCCTGAGCTGCAGACCCCAGACTCTACGGAGCAGCCCACTACAAATCAAAGGGGTGTTCTTCTTAATGCCCACCCCCCTGGTTTTGTCTCATCTGCTAGGCAAATGTGTGAGGATTAGTCAGCGTTACTACTGGAAGTGAGACTGCAGAAGAATGACAAAACCTCGTTCGTGGGAATGACTTGAAAGGGCCCTGAGCCAGGCATGGCGGCTCATACCTGTAGTCCCAGCACTTGGAAGACAGGGATTGCTACGGGAGCGTCATAGTGAACTCTGAGCCAGCAGGGCCACAGAGCAGCCCTGGCCAGCACAAAGGCAGTGGTGCTCTGAGTGTGGTATTTCAAAGTGAAAGTACTCACTTGAAGAGAGTCGGCTGCTGTTGCAGCGACAGAACTATTACTATTGTGTGGTAAATACTGTAATATGTGTAAATAAACTTGCTTTTGCTGTATTTTTTAATTTTTCAACTGTCTTTCTGATTTATATATGTATAAGAAGGAAACTTATTTAAATCCAGTTGCATTTAAGTTGGGCAGTTGTAGCACATGCTTTTAACCCTAACACTTCAGAGGCAAAGGTAGGCTGATGTGAGTTGGAGGCCAGCCTGATCTACAAAGCGAGTTCCAGGACAGCCAAGGCTACACAGGAACCTATCTTGGAAAACGAAAAAAAATTCAGTTGTATTTTATAATATTCAAGTAAGATTCTGGTATGTATCAGAATATACAAGATAAAATGACGATATCTTAACTAGTAATCACAATTAGATTTTTGAGAACATTAGTAATTGAAAACATTTATTATAATCCCATACTACACAGACACACAATACACTTTATGGAAGGTTTTGGAATAGAAGAATTGGGGGAGAGCAACCAACCTTTGGCCTTGTTGTCTTGCAAAGTTCTTGAGGACCCCAGGAGATTCCCCACACTAGGAGACCCAGTGTACTGTTCCATGTAATCCCAACATACAAGAATGCATGCAAGATCTAAGGCAGAGAAAGGGAAATGTAGATGATGGCCTTTAATGGTAGGATCCAAGCTTAGTCTGTCTCACGTTTAGCACAGATTCCCTGTTAGAAACCGGGGAAGTACAGCTTACCACATGTCATGAACTCTAGTTACACAATCATTTTAAAAATCCCATTTAAGTAAAAAGAAAACAAGCATGATGAATTTTGCAGTGGGCAAATTGCTTCTGGACTTGAATGAGTTCCGACCTCTATTTGAATCAGAACAGTAAGACAAACACTGACACTCGCCCCCATGCAGCCCACAATGGTAACTTAACAGCAGTACAGAATGGTAACTTACAGCAGTACAGACAGCCACAAGTTCCTTATCCATCTCCACAGTGGCACGCCTCAGCAAGATTTCCTTAAGGGTTCGAGTTACTTTAGGAGACTGTAAACAAACATGACCACGTGGCTTTGTAGGTAAAACAAAGTTGTCTTCAAACACTGAATGTTTCATTTACTAAGTTTTTTCATCAAGGAATCTCCTTGGGTCCTTGGAGGTGCTCTCCTCTGTACCCTTCCAGGTGGTTGAGGTCCTCTCTAAATGGATCATAGCCTTGCTCTTTTAAACAACGGAGAGCCCAGAAAAGCTGGTCCGACGGAGGGAATTCTTCCCAAGGAACCCACTCCCAACCTAGAAGAGAGGCGATCAGGGCACACAGATGGCAGAGCAAGAGCTCTCATTTGGTGAACTAAGCTGCTATACATTCAGAGAAATGTCAGCGGAATTTAAAGGACCTAGCACTAATCAAACAATGTGTCTGGGGCTAGCTTGGCTGTGCAACTCAAACCTTGGTTTAGAACAAAGAGGGGCAATCAGTGAAACCCTGGGCTGTTTTGTTTCTTTGTTTGGAGACAGGGTCTCATGCACCAAGGCATTTAGTCCCTACCTGAACTCTTGTGAGGTGTCTACTGTCTTCACATGAGAAAAAGATGTCCCACCACTGCCTATGTGGCACTTGCAGTCTGAGCTCAGCTCAGGCTGGTCTCTGACCAGGTAAACAGAAGAATTGCTGGTACATACACAGAAGCCTAAAATCAGCATTCCTTAAAAGCTGACTCTCCATCTCCCGAATGCTTTGACCTTTAATACAGTTCCTCGTGCTGTGGTGACCCCAACCATAGGGTTATTTTCATCGCTATTTCATAACTGTAATTTGGCTACTTTTATGAATCCTAATGTAAATATCTGTGTTTTCTGATGGTCTTAGGTGACCCCTGAGAGAGGGTTGTTCGACGCCAAAGGGGTCAATGCACAGGTTGGGAACTATTGCTTAAAGCCTTGTGAATAGAACGTCTAATGTCTGTCTGTCCGGAGAACCATGGCTTCCCTTATCTGCCCCTATAGCTATGCACAGGGCCTCTAGTTCCATATAAGACATACCTGTAACACATATCGCAGTCTCCAAGATGGCATTGCCCCTTCTGCTCTGCAACATACCCTACCTGTAAACTTCCAGGCTATTCCAACTCACAGGCTCCCTCCCTCACAGCCTATTTCTTTAAAACCATCAAGGCTCCCCGCCTTCCCCTACTCCCTGTCCTCCCCCAGAGATAGCCATGGCAGCTTTCAATTTCGCCAACAAGCCTTTCTTTCTACACATGGAGTGGTCCAGTTCGGTGGTTTTACTGCATCCTGACAAGAACATAGTGTATGAAACATGACACAAGCCCAGGCAGGCTGTATTTTATGTCCCGAGGGATCTATGTGTTTTCTCATCTCTACATCGTGTCTGTCTGTGCTGCTGTAACAGGATAGCTTGCGCTAAGTGGCTTACACACAGACATTAATTTCGCACAGTTCTGCAAGTTGGAAGACTACGATCAAGATGCTGGCAAGACATGATGTCTGGTAATGACGCATTTCCTGGCCCTCTGTAGCTTCATATGGAGAAGGGGTGAGGGTGTCCCTGCGGTCTCTTTTATGTGAGCACTAATCCCATTTGTGATGGGGCTGTACGCTTGCGTTTGCAATGCTCCACACAGGCTCACGGCGATCAGTGGGTCCCAGCTGCTGCTGCTATTCTGGGAGGCGGTGGTAACTTTAGGAGGTATGGACTGTGTACAGGAGGTCACTGGGGATGTGCCTCAGGAGGCCACACCTAGCCCTACTCACACTGCCTCTCTGCTGTGGGGTTGGGAGGTGAGGCCCCTACTGCAGTCCTCCTTGACATTCCACCCCACAAAGGACCCAGAATCCACAAAGCCCACAACCATGCGCTAAAACCCAGGAAATCACAGCTGAAGGAATCTTCTTCCCTTTCTGCTGTTAATGTTGGACATTTTGTCACAGCAATGCAAAGGCTAAGCTTTGCCCTCATAACCTAACCAAATGCCCCATCTTCTACACCTTGAGGATTAGAATTTCAGCTTATGTCTTTTTTTTTTTTTTTTGAGACTGTATCTTTCTATATAGCTCTAGCTAGCTTGGGTCTTGCTATGTAGACCAGGCTGGCCTCAAATGCAAGAGATCTGTCTGCCTCTGTCTCCCCAGTGCTGGGATTAAAGGTCTATATCACCACTCCTAGTTCCAACTTAAGGATTTTTGGAGGGGTGAAGGCAAAAATCTGAGAATACAATTCTCTTCATATGGCAACGATACTCCTAGTGGCATGTTTCTTTGAAGAAAACACATTGTTATAAATAATTCTCTTACTTTCATTTTTCTCAGGTTCCATATTCTTTGGCTCTGAATGGTGGGCCATGTCCACTTCTCCTCTCATCAGTATGGTGACATAATGGTAATTCTCTCTCTCAACAAAAGAATTTACCACGGATGCAAAGCGCACGTTTTTCAGACGTAGTGCAGCCTCTTCCCAGGTTTCCCTCTGAGCGCACTCTTCCCAGGTCTCACTGGAAAAACAAACAGAGCCTGTTCAGTATACGAATAACGTAATATTCTTGGTAGAATGCTGTAGTATAAAATAAAAGCAACAGGCTTGGCGGTGGTGGCGAACACTTTTAATCCCAGCACTCGGGAGGCAGAGGCAGGCGGATCTCTGTGAGTTCAAGACCAGTCTGGTCTACAAGAGCTAGTTCCAGGACAGCCTCCAAGACAATACAGAGAAACCCTGTCTTGAACCTCCCTCCCCCCAAAATAAAATAAAAGTATTTTGTTTTAAAATGATAAAACCCTCTGCCTTTACACTCTGCATTTCTATATTTAGTGATTTGAAGACCCAAAGAGTCTTTTATATTGGACAACAAACAGAATTTAACCACCAGCAATAATATCCAGGTCTGGAACTAGACCTAGGCATCTGGGGGCAGTTTAGTGTGTCAGGCTTTTAAGTCAGCTGTACCTGAAGTTCTTTCTATCTTAAACAGAAAATGGAAACAGTATATTTCTCATGGGGTTGTTATGTTTCAAAAGTACATTAAATGCCTTCCCTAGGCTTCAGAATTTCGATTTGAGCCTCAGAACTCAGGCCACTGGGCAACTCAGAAAGCAAAGTGCGGGAGTTGGGGGGGCTTGCTGCAGTGGGCTACAACAGTGTGCTCCCAGGTCACACAGCAAGTACAGGATCTTAGAGGAAAGGAGTTGTGCGTTTCCAGCCTGGAAGGAACGTTTCCCTTCCTTATGATGGAGAGTCAATGTGAGGCACCTCCAACGACTCAGCAATGCCACAACACAACACTCAGGAAGCTGAGGAAGCTCGACCATCCTAAGTCCAGGCCACCCTGGGCCACAGTGAGTTCCAGGCCGGTGTGAGCCAGAAGAAGACCCTGTCTCAAAAACAACAACAAAATTCCCAAACACAAAACCAAACAGAAAGAGTCAGCCAGATGTTAGGGGATACTGGCGCACTACTACCCTGTCAAATGCATATCGAGCTGCCAAACTTTAGAGCCGTAGTGGTAGAGCAGAACTCGCAGGTAAATCTGACTGCATGGGGAATTCTGTGGGGGGAATTGCAAGGAGGAGACAATGTGGCATAGGTCCCTGGGCTGAGAGGAGGGCAGCCCCGACCGAGCATCACTTCCGTCCTGGAATGGACTTCCATTTGGTCCAAGCAGATGCCACAGGAGACTGCAGGGGTTTGTGCGGTGGTGCAGGTCTTTCACCCCAGCACTCAGGAGGGAGAGGCAGGCAGATCTTTGTGAGTTCCGGGTCGGCCAGGGCTACACAGTGAGACCCTGTCTCTTAAAAAAATCAAATCTATTAGAGAATACCGACCCACATATTTACAGATAACAGGAAGTCTAGGATTTCCTTTCAACAGTTTAGAAAATCAAGTGTGGTGCCTGTTGGATAGAAGAAAGAGCCGTAGGAGGGCTCCAGGCTCCACCTTACACGTCTCATATTATTATGCATTACTAAAGGAAACCACACTGGATCCTGGGGGTTTAGATACGTTTATCTGTTCTGTTTAAAACACACTTATGAGCACAAAGCCAGAGTTTCTTCGTGCTGTGTAAAACTTACTTAACCACTCTTACCACTTTGTGGGTCCGACATCCACCACGGGCCACTCTCATAACACTCCCACAGGGGAGAAGGCAACAGGGCCAGAAATTAAACATATCTAAATTTCATGGGGCAAAGCGAAGACTCATAAACGTCCTCTTTTTCTGGAAGCACCAAGAAATACAGACCCCTCCCACCTACAGCCAGGGGAGGGAGGAGAGAGGACTGAGAGGACCAGGGTCCCCGGCACAGCGCCCCCTCCCGGCGGGATCCCGGAAGACCCCGGTGCCATAGAGAACACACGGAACGCAACTGCGCACTTATGCGCGTGACACGGACTCATTTGTCCTGCGGACTAGTGCTACTCGTACAACTTCCGTTTACTCGAGGTCGACCCGCTCACCCGAATTCCAAATGGCCCCCAGGAAGCTGGAAGCTGCCGGCTCCAAACGACCCTTTTCTCTTCCCCAGAAGGACGCAGCGGGGATGCTCGCAGCTCACCACCACCACGCCAACCCCAACTCCGGGGCGCCGCCTCGGCTCCGCGTTGGCGGTCATAGCTCTTGGCTGCTCCCGGAAGTGATGTTGACTGCTCCACATCCGCTTTCAAGCTGTACGGGAGCCGGCTGGAGCCCCGGGTATTGCTACTGTGAGTGTCGTCTGCCTCAGGCCTCAGGTGTAGCTCGGTGGATAAGTTGGGGAGAAACAACCCATATAAATAACTGATTTTAGGGTGTGCTCAGATGATCCGGAGAAGTGAATAAGAATAATAAATTCAACTAGGACAAATTACGTATTTTAGGGAAACGTACTGTACTAGATACAAATATGCACCAATCAAAAATGAAATATGAAAGGAAAAAAATTGGAGAAACCAGGTGTAATTAAACAAATTTAATATCCTACATCTCCATGGCTTCAGAATTGCGCTCTTACAATATAGAAGCTTATTGAGCTGCATACACTTTGGGTCTGGCTAATTAATTTTGGTGGGAATACTTCTTAAGATATCACAGCTGTATGAGATTTATGCTGTGGTACATGTTAGAAAGGCCTTGTCCTTAGAGACGTAAAGACTGTAAGATCTGTAAGAGGATAGTGTTGTAAAACACTGTCTTCTGTACATGACATGACTGTTGCACTCATGAACTCATAGCAGCTGTGCTTACCGGCACAAGACCTGCACAAGATGGGGCGTGTTAGTGTTCTACCTTGGATGAGGGAGAGGCTCCACCCCTTTTTGGAGGAGCTGTTGGAAGTTCATGGTTGCTAGGGGAGGAGGAAGTCAATTTCTTCAGTGGTGTAGCCACTGAAAAATTGCCTGTGCTCCCATAAATAGCTCCTCCCCATAAATAGCAACTTGTGATGGTTAATCTTAACTGTCAACTTAATGAGATCTAGAATAGTCTGGGAGACGAGCCTCTGAGCATGCCTATGGGGATTGCCTTAATTGGGTTGACTGAGGTAGGATCAACTGTGGATGCCACTATTGTCTGGGATGGGATCCTAGAATGTGTAAGACCGAGTAAGAGAGTTGAACACAAACATTCATTTTGGATGACCCTAGTGTCAGTTCCCACCTGGCTATTTTATCTGTGCTTGGAGGGAGGTGGGTGGATTGAGAAACTTCAAGCTGAAATAACAGAAACACAAAAGAAATAAACATAGGATAGATTTGGGAAGACTGTCAGTGAATACTGCAGCCTCCAGATTATGTTTCATAGCCCTTTTATACCACCCTGGGGCTGGGGAGCAAACAAGGGTGATTACTTCCTTAATATTCAAAGCAGTTAATAGCTATGCCCTAAGTCAAACATCCTGTTACTATGTATTGAGGCACAAAACATCTAGTAGCTACACCTTAAGCCAAATATCCTGCTATTTGACTTTGAAGGAGGGAAAACAAGCTTGAACACTAAGCTTGAGTCAAGATGGAACCAAGTTACAAGATGGAGTGACTGTGGCTCTCACAGTTTTGGAAATACTGAAGTCAGTGAGAGACACAGATAATCACTGCTAAGTCTTATAAAGACAGTCTCTACCACAGAACACAAAAGAAAACACTTCACTAAAGAAACAGATACACAAAGGGAGTTATGAACAAACTCATTGTGCTCAACATAGTAAAACACAAAACTCTATCACTTGCAATGGGAGCTAAAAATAACGAACCTAATCCAACCAGCCTATAAAACAACCAGCATGTAATAGAATTAGCAAAAATGCCTCAATAATAGCCCTGAATATAACTGTTCATAGCTCTCCAAATAAAGATGCAAGTGGTTAGATGAAGAGAGCAGTATCCAAATCTACTATTTCTAAGATGCATACTTCACTGGCAGAGAGAAGTCAATTCAGAAAGCAAGTGACAATGAAAACAAGCTGGTGTAGCAATTCTTATAACGGATCAAGTGGCTTTTAAGTTGAAATTGCGGTGATATAAAGAATGCCATTGCATGCTAATAAATGAACTAATTCATTAGGAATATACAATTATAAATATTTATGCACTAAATGGTAGGGATCCTGATTTCATAAAACAACAACAACAAAAAAAAAGCAAGCACTAATGACTTTAAAGGACAGATCCTCATACTACTAGCATTAGTAATAACTAGTAATAGTTGACATCAACAAGTGGTTGACAGCAACATCCTACCCTGCTCAGTGGATAGGCCTTCCAGACTAAAAATAAATACAGAAACTTCAGAGTTAATCTGCACTTTAGACCAAATCAACTTAATAGATCTCTACAGAATATTCCATCTAGCACCTTCAAAATTTTTTACTCTTCCACAGAGTTTTCTCTAAAACAGCATAGTTTAACCCACGAAGCAATGCTGACTAAGGCAGAGAAACTCCTTACAATTTTGTGCACACCGCCATAGCATGTGGAAATAAAACTAGAAATCAATAACAAAAGCACAAAACCAAAATTAAATAAAAAACACAATAAAAATAACATTAAAATGATTTCATTACAAAAAAAACCACAGAAAGTTTTAAACCATTTGGGGATTGAGCACACTCTTATATGGGATGTCCTTCTGTGTGCTTTGAATGTGTTGCTTTTATTGGTTGATAAATAAAGCTGTTTTGACCAATGGCCAGACAGAATCTAGCTAGGCAGGAAATCCAAACTGAGTTACTGAGAGAAAGAAGGCAGAGTCAGGGAGACCCATGTAGCCGCTGAAGGAGTAACATGCCAAACATCACCTGGAGTAAGCTACAGTCTCGAGGAAATACACAGATTAGTAGAAATGGGTTAATTAATTAGAGAGTTAGCCAGTAATATGTCTGAGCCCTTGTGCAAACAGATGTAATTGGTATTAAGCCTCAGAGTGTTATTTCATAAGGGACTGTGGGGACCGAGAGTGGGAGAGAAACCGGTCCATCGGGGACAGCAGGACAGAGAAAAACACTCACCTACACACTCTTTTTAAAATACAAGTTTTATTTATTTTAATTTTTATTTTCTCTGTATGAATGTTTTGCCTGTATGTTTATATGTGCAGTACATGTGTTTCTCATGACCACAGGGGACAGAAGAGGGCATTGGATCCTCTGGAACAGGAGTTATCAGCAGTTTTGAGTCACTATATAGGGGCTGAACCTGGGTCCTCTGGAAGAGTAGCCCATGCTGGTATCTGCTGAGCTGTCTCCAGCCCCACACGGTATACTCCTGAATGACCCACAGGATAAAATGAAATGAAACACAAACTTGCTAGTACATCTGAGACACAGCCCAGGCAATTATGAGAGAAAATTTTGTATGTATAAATGTTCATGTTGGGAAGATGGCTCCATGGACAATTCTTGTGCTCAGGCCTGATGATTTGAGTTTGATCACTGGATCCCACAAGGTGGCAGAAGAAAACTAACTCCTGAGTGTTGTCCTTTGGCCTCCTCACACATGCTATGCCATACACATGTCTACACACACACACACACACACACACACACACACACACACACACACAATTTTTTAAAATCAGAGATATCACAAATAAATAATCTAATCATGTAACTCAAGTTTTTAGAAAGAAGAAACAAAACTCCATAGCAGCAGATAAAGATATCAACTGCCCAGCTGGTGGTGGTGCATGTCTCTAATCCCAGCACTCAGGAGGCAGAGGCAGGCAGATCTCCAAACTCAAGGTCATCCTGATCTACAGAGTGAGTTCTAAGACAGCCAGGGCTACACGGAGAAATCCTGTCTCAAAAACAAAACAAAACAAACAAAACCATAATTAATTAATTAAAAATTTTTTTAATGGGGGATATGTACTTGGACAGAAATTAATAAAATGGATACTAAAACACAAAGAATCAGTGAAACAACTTAAACATGTACTTAACAAGCAGTAAGACTGATGCAGTCATAGTCTTCAAACAAGAGTCTGCTAGGACTGGGTGCATTCTGCTTAGTTCTACCAAATCTTTAAGGAATGGCTAACACCATTGCCCCTAAAGTATTCCACATGGTAGAAAGGAAAGAACAAGACTACATCTGTTCTATATAGTCACTGTTGCTATGACAACAAGACCAGACAAGGACGAAGTCATGTATGGTCATTCTATTTTGAGCTTTTGAGGAACTTCTACGTCAATTCCCAAAGAGATTGCACCAGTTCCCATTCTCCTTGGCAATATGTAAGCATTCCTATTTCCCCACATCCTTGCTAGCATTTTGTCATTTATTTTCTTGGAGATAGTGTCTCACCAGGGTGAGACAGAATCTCAAGGCAATTTAAATTTGCATTTTCCTGATGTTGGAACACTTTTTTTTTCGAGACAGGGTTTCTCTGTGGCTTTGGAGGCTGTCCCAGAACTAGCTCTTGTAGACCAGGCTGGTCTCAAACTCACGGAGAACCACCTGCCTCTGCCTCCCAAGTGCTGGACTTAAAAGTGTGGGCCACCACCGTCCGGCTGTTGGAACACTTTTTTGAATATTTATTGGCCATTCATATTTATTCCTTTTAGAACTATTCTGGTCATTAGAACTATGGCCTGTTTCTCCACCCATAATCTTGAATGCTGGCATTAATTCTTAACAAGTGCCAGAAACAATGTCTGTCAAATCCAGGTCTCTGCTCTGTCTTCCTCCTCCTTAAATCTGGTAAATTCTTGTAGTAATTGACTAAAGAGAAGAGCGAGTGCTCTGTGTTGTGTAATAAAGTAAAAAGGCAGCTGTTGACATACGCCCCTTACTGTCTGCTCAGAACCATTGCTTCCGTGGGCTTATATTTTGTTTCTACCTGCTGGCCCTGTGTGCTGCTTACACCTTTTCAGGCTTTCCCAGCCCTTCTGAAGTAGGCGCGAACATTGGGACTAATAGTTACTTCCAACTGGAAGATCAAGTCTGTAACTGTCCTGGAAGGAAAGAAGATGATGCGTGCGTGCGTGCGTGCGTGCGTGCGTGCGTGCGTGTGTGTGTGTGTGTGTGTGTGTGTGTGTATGTACAACGTCCATCTTCCACCTTGCTGAGCCAGCTCTCTCATATGTCTGCTGATGGACTGTGTGCTCCAGCCTAGCTTCCCTGTGAACTTCTGGACAGTTCTTCTGTCTGTCTCCCATCTTGCTGTAGGACTTCTG